TGTAGTCGACGTAGTCGTGTCGTACTTGTATATGTACATGCTTTTAAGTTAAAGAGTTAAGCTATTATACTATACAGGTGTATCCCGGTTTTTGCAACGTAGTCGACGTAGTTAGATTTACTAAGTAACTTTCCCGGTATATATATAAGGAAGGGAGGAAGCTGCTTCAAGATATCAAGAGTTTCTTCATGCGATAGTAATTGTTTCAATCTTGGGATAACCTCGTCGGATTTATCCCCTGTTGCCATGTGCATAATTAGTATCGACAAGTTTACATGTAGACGACTATGTATTAACCTAAGACTTCGGACGAATTTTTCTTCATTATGTTCTATTTGAGTTCGCAGCACTGAATGATCGCTGGTATTCTTTGGGAGAATCTATCCCGTTCGGTCTAGAGCTCTTGATTGCTCCGCTACTTCTTTATCAACGATACGATAGTGATTTTAAAAGTATCTCGTTTACATACTTTTTGCGGCGTGTTAAGTTTATCGCTGATGAAAACAAATAGATAGTTTGTTGGACTAGATAGAATAATATTTTCTACAGAAACCAACTTACGTAATCTCGAAAAATAAGTTTGCTTAAAGTGTGATACCGCATGACAGAGCGTCAGTACTCTGTTTTTTGCGCTCATTGGTCGGGTGATGGAAACAAACTGTCCCAGATACGACCAAAGTCGTTCCATGCCCTCTCCATCGGTCAAACCAAACCCTTTGACATAACGTGGGTTATAGTCGACTTGGCACTTTATCAAATGTGCATACGCGTGAAAAACGCTAACTGCGATCTTCGTGTTATCTTCGTCCCTGAGCTCGGGAAAATTGTCCTACATGTATCAAACAACATTTTGTAAATTTTAGAAAAGCTCACTAAGTAGCCCTCGAAGTGGTATAATAAAATAATAGTATACTACAGTACATACTTGTATGGCTAATTTGATTCGACGAGCGATGTCATACATCAATGCCTCGATTTTCACGCCTGGTTTTTGCAATAAGACGTGAATGATGGCAAGGGCATACTTGAATCTGTATTTTCGACGATTTCAAGCGATATCGTAAGTAAGGAAGAGCAAAAAAATGAGTAACAGCAGTCAACATTGTCACTACTTACTTTTCTCCAGATTCAAATATATTTGTGGATATTATGTCGAGCGCAAATGGCTCCTACTAAACCACATTTATGGCAGAGGAGATCACCGCGAGAAGCGTTTGCGGTTGTTTTGAGACTGCTGTCACAAGTACGTGATGAATCACTAACGGGTATTACTAGGGACACTCCAAAAAAGTGACTCGACACTCCATTTTTCCTCAAAATAAACCAAATAGTTGCACAAAAATAAACAGTTGCTCTATAAATATATCGCTTGATGGACCTTCTGATGTTGGAGTGCAGGATGTAGACAATAGAGTGCAAAATGGAGTGCAAAATGGAGTGCTAAGAGCGAAATAAAGCTTGAGTTGATATTTATTGATTTTATCATAAATATGTATATGAAATGTTATCATATTATTGATATAAAAGGAATAGGGTAATGATATGTGATAGCATCACACAGATGCATAAGAAAAAACTATTTATAAAAATTGTTTCTTTCTAAACATTTTCCTCAATGTTGACCTTTTTGATGTCCAAATATCTCCAAACTTTTTTGCACAAATCATGCATGTGACCCATCTTTTCACAAGCTGTTACAACCGATCGTTCGATAAAAGGCCATTGTAGTTTCTTTGCAGTTTTCATTTCTAATGTCGCCCAATGACATCCTGAAACGAACTGCATGATAAGAGGTAACGGTCGAGCATTCGTTCCTGGTCCTTCAAATGGTACAAACAACAATGGCGCCGTACAGTACATTCCATCTTCGTTTTTGTCATCTCTGTCCGGATACACAACAATAGGTCGTCTGTATGTATCAGCAGCAAGTTGAGCACAACTAGGAGTGTAGAACCAATGCTTGCTGGGGCACCTTGGATATTTGCCTTCAGTGTTGCGGGTGTAGTCAAGGCCAAAAGCGATCGTCTCCTCGAGGCGAGCAAGGTCATACATGCTGATGAAATACTTCGAATATCTGTCCTTGTTTTTGTGCAGGCACTCTAGCATCTCCCTTTTGACCGTCATGAATTGTTCTTGGTCTCCTTTGACGCAATGCGCGATGGTGCGGAAGCCACACCAGCCGTCAGAAGCAATATTAACTGTCCCATGAATGCAATCCCTTGGGATATCTGGGTGAACTAAAAAGGAGAAAGACTCTGGTTTAGGTTCGGTACGAATCCTATATGTACAATCATATATACATTTATTAATATAAAATGGGAATAGTACATATGACGAAGAATTGTTCTGAATACAAAAAGACTGACCTTTTACGAGCACGTTCCAAATACACAGTTTCTTGATCCCTTTTCGATGTTGAAAGGACATAGTCGTCGTGTTGTACTTCGCTGGTTTGAAGGGCCTTTTTAGGCTTATCGTTACCAGCAGCATTAAGCAGCTCTTCTTTCTTTTCGGTCTCAAAAGAAGATGGGATCCTTTTGTCCTTCGTATTCTTGGGCCTTCCTTTCGTAGCAACTGGCTCAGGAAACGTGACTTCAGCGAGATCAACAGTCTCAACGTCTTCCTCAAGGATCTCCTCAAAACGGGATAAGAGATTGACTTTCTCTTGTTCGGTTTCCAGGGAAATGATTTTGTTCTTTAAGTTTGTAACGAGCTTCTCCATCTGATGGTCAACTAATACCGCTGGATCTTTAATTTCAAATAGAGCTATATAATACACAGGAAGCACATTCATATGAGAGGGTATCGACAACATGCTATTGTTAGTAGATGAAGCTGTATAATAGTACATACCTGAATCATACTGTAGAAGCCAACGTTTAGGAATCTCGTTCAAATCAACAGCAGGACCGTTTAGGTTGATCATATGCTGGCATGGTAAACCAAAATTGATTCTACTCGTGCAAATACAATCCAACGTGTCGCAATTGATTTCATTGCCTACGTTTTTCCACGCACGGTCAAGCTCCTTTCGAATTCGGATCAAAGCAAAGAAACTGACATGGCCGAAAAGGTTTCTTAAAGCTGCACTCTCACGCTTTGTGAAAAGTGGAGTGTTGCGAAGCTCGTGTATGAAGTCCATCTTTTCTGTTTCAAACTTTTAAGCATTAAAGTTAGCTTATTTACATATCGCTACATATAAATTGAATAGCAAAGACCGGAGATGAGTGAGAATATAGAATGCTTACTGTCTTCTTCATGACTTCGTTAATAGCTTTAAACGTGCGATAGAGGCTGCCCGTCGTTTGCATAGTATCTTTGATGATCCAATGAGTCCCTTCTGTTCGTGATGTGGTTCGCACATTAAGGTTGAACTGCTTTCCAGCCTGCGGTGCAGCCCATTTATCCTTGTAGGTGAGCACACTAGACGTAAAATAACGCGAGGGTACAGTGAGTTAACTAAATCACCCTTATCACATACTTAATCTACATAATTTCAAGCAAACCATTACAAAGTAAGAGATACATACCTTTCGAGATACTTGATGATTTTTGTCTTACGGGCAACTGCGATTTTGTTTCTTTTTTTCATTTCCTTGTCTTCCCTTTTTTTGTTTCGCAGTTCCTCTTTTTTTGTCGGCTTCTTTTCTTGTTCTTCATCGTTTTCTTCTTTTTCGTTCAGCTTCTTTTCTTTTGCTTCAGCCTTTTTGATGTCTTGTTTTTCTGCCTGTTCGATCATTGCTGCTGCTGCATCCTCCGCTAGTTGGCGATATTCCTTGATTGCTTCTTCGAATTTCTCTTCGTCTTTGTACTTGTAAATCAAGCAATTCACAACGCTCTTGACTTGCTTGTACTTCTCGCTTTTCTTCGGAAAGCAGCCACCGAACTGAGAGATCAAATGCTGCGCCATGTGCCAACCGCATAAAAGATGAATCGATTTCGGAAAGATAGTATCGATGGCAGTGATGAGCGCCTTCTCGTTATCAGTAATGAAGATACCGACATCACCTTCGGGCCAAATAGTATCACGCATGGTCCTCATAACCCACAGATAGGAGTCGGTTTTTTCATTGACGACGACTGCTGATGCAATTAATATATTGTGTAGCGACGTCGTACCAAGGTTACTGATCCCAACAACGTTGATTAGCGGCATCTTGCTGTTGTTCGTTCCATACGTCGCATCGAGACTGATGACTTCTTTAAATCGCCTTGCTTTTTCCAAGCCAACTTGATGCGTAACGAACAATGCTTCCAATGTTTCCGTTTTCCTATCTATGCGATATCTTACGATATATTGATTGCTGACCAAGAAGCTGAATAGTTTGCTGAATGCGCCAGATTTGTCGTCCTTGAATATTTTATGGCGGAAATTGTAAATATCCTTGATTGTCACGATTGTGCCTTCATCGTTGTTTTGTAACTCTTGACAAATCTTGGCTGGTTTGATAGAAGTCTCTGTCATTGACAAGATGCGACTGGCAATATCAGCTGTTGGCTTTCGATGTTGATGGTAAGATGCTGCTGCGTTACTGTCAAATAAATGATTGTGGCTGTCGGCGCTGCTGACACGTTTAATCACCCATTTTTTGATTTTCTGTATGTATGAGCCAAAGAGCTCCCAAGCACAACCGGTCTTCTGTGTCGATACCAGTCTTTCACGTTCATCATCGTCGATGTCATGACAGTTCCTGTAGACACCCCCATGGACACAGTGGATGTAGATATTTCGACTGTTGCTGCGCTTGGTGGATGTTGCAAACTGATTCTTTAGGGCCATCTCTTGAACCTTTGCTCGGAGCTGATTTTTCGAATCATATTTGGTGCCAATAAGATCGACCATGGTATCTGTTCTTGTAGCGCTCATTTTGATAGAAAAGGGAGAGAGGAAGAAAAGGGGATTTATCCTTTTTCTTTTAAAAACTTGTCAACTTATATAATAGACATCTCGTAGCTTTATCAGTCATCGCAGTAGTTAAAAATTTCACAAGCTCAACGCCTACGACGCCATCATGGCAATTGCAACACTCCAAACACCCCAAACGCCTGCAACGCCATCATGGCGATTGCAACACTTTAAACATTCCAGACACTCCAAACACCTACAACGCCATCATGGCGATTGCAACACTTTAAACACTCCAGACACTCCAAACACTCCAAACGCCTACAACGCCATCGTGGCAATTGCAACACTTTAAACATTCCAGACACTCCAAACGCCTACAACGCCATCATGGCGATTGCAACACTTTAAACACTCCAGACACTCCAAACACTCCAAAAAACACTCCAACCACTCCAAACACTCCAAACGCCTACAACGCCATCGTGGCGATTGCAACACTCCAAATACTCCTCTTCCTTTAATAGTCCTTTGTTAGTATATTTATAGAGCATCTGTTTATTTTTGTGTAACTATTTGGTTTATTTGAGGAAAAATGGAGTGTCGAGTCATTTTTTTGGAGTGTCCCTAGTAATACCCATCTTCAAAAGCCGTCCACTACTTTGAAGATCATCAATGCTAATCCTTCTATTTCGCAAAAGTTGAGTGCACTGCCTGACTATACTGAAGGCATTAGAGACTCACTAACGCAGGGTGATAAATGGAAAACCAATCCATATTTTCAACACCCTAATGTTACAATGAATGTAGATGGTCAAGAGTTTATGTATTGGGTAGGTGATGTTGTATATGATAACACAATACCCTAGGCCACAAGATATTCGTGGACAACAGGGTACAAGCTCTCAAGATTTTACACGAAAAATGGTGAAATCATGGCAGATGCTTGTATTTTTTTATTAGAAAGAACGACGAATGGATCATTGTGTGTCTGTTATCGTATAGCTGGTTCAGACGATATCATATCAGATGCAATTAAGTTGCGTGATTATCGCCTAGCTGATCACAATGATTACTTGCAGAGCATCCCTCTATATTCTTTTTGTTTGGACGAAAATGGACATAGTTCTTTACCTGAAGAAGTGAATGTTAGAAGCCATCCAGCATTCAATCTTCGGTTCCGTTATAATACTACACTTCCTGTTAAAATTATTCCTTTGAATATGTTTCAGGACGATACGAGTGGGGATCGTTCAAAAAAATGGAACAAGTTTGAATCGTTTTCTATGGTTCCAGCCGCGCTTCCTTTGGATGAGCGCAACAAACAAGCAAACACGCACCTGATATGCGTACATAATCGATTGTCGAGTGGTGAAATTGTGCGCTCAATCGTGGATGACCTGAAGGAGTTAGAGGAAGGTGTAGAGATGTACGATGCAGGTACAGGTAGCAAAGTCTTAGTCGTTGCACCACTCAACCTGATCACGGCAGAAAACCCTGCTTATGGAGAGCTATCTTGCCCGAAAAGGTTCCAGTCAGCCTCGTATCCTTGCCGTAAATGTTTCTTCAGAAAACGTAAAAACGACGAGCGGACAACTGCTAACGACCATATTAGCGTTAAGAAACGCTCCAAAGAAGAGCTGCTGAGCATCCTCTATCATAGAGATAAAACTAAAATGAAGTTAAACATAGGAGGGCGCGAAGAAACTGCTGATCACTTTGGTGTCAGCTTTTCTGGTGGTGAAGCTTTGCTGGAACTGAAAGCTTTCGACATAACAAAAGACTGTCCAAATGAGCTTTTGCATAATATGATGCTTGGTATAACAAAGTATCTAATGACGGACACTTGCTCATATTTGAAACAGGTCGAGCTACGAGATCTTGGCACCCAATTGAAAAACTATGAATCCAAAGCCTTTGGTAGGATAGTTGGTACCAGATGAATAAATTATAACAATAAAATGTATTATTAATTTATATATAATAAATAAAGTATAATTTGATATTTAATATAAATAATTTGTTAGTTTATATTTATATATTTAAGATATTAAAAAATAATTTAAAAATATATAAAATTTAAAATTATTTATCATTATTTATTTATTAAAAAAAATATTAATAATTTTTACTATTGTAAAAAAAAGAAACCAAAACATATTATTCATAATAAATTAAAAATAGTAAAATAAAAAGTAAAATATATTAATGAATAATATGATCGGCGGAATGGTAATGAGCATCCCCTCCTTTAGTTGAGGACAAAGGACGAAAACTAACTTATCAATGATATTTAGAGGTAATGGGTTGGTGAGGGTGTCCAAGCCTATTACGTGTTTTCAATAATAAAAACTTTCCTTAAATTATATATAATTAATAATTTAAAACTAATGATTATTCATCCCAATCTACAAAACAACGGTTCTTTTGTTGGACGTGATTACAAAATTGTTGGTCAACAGCTGCCCACTATCTTCAACCGTATGTTTAAAAACGAATGGAGTACTATGGATCCAGCACGACTTGAAGTTCTTAAGGCACTTCATAAATGTCTCGTCATACAAGGGGTATTACTCTCGCTGTTCTATATGCGTAGCATCAAAGGAAGCTTTGAGCATTACAAAAAGCTTGTCTATTATAAAATAGTATCGTTTCATAAGGCTCTGGATGAGATGGAGGAGGCATTTGCAAAAGTACGTAAGTCGCGATCACATTCTATAAGTAAACCGAAGTTTCATCTACTTTATCATCTGCTTGACGATTTGGACGGATTTGCGTCTGCTGTCCATTTCGAATCTGAGCGCGGTGAGCAATTTAGTAAGTTTATCAGAGAGAGGCTTATTAATACAAACCGCTAAAATCCATCCCGCGATGTGCTTGTTTCCTTCAGTCGATATAATGCATTCCGGCATATTATTGACGGTGGTAAGTGGTTCCCATCTGATGCTGATGAATCGGATCCAAATCAAATGGTATCAGCTGGAAGGGGTATCATTAATTTGGTCAAAGAGCGACCTAAGTTTGAGCATTTATATCTAGGTGGTGACCGTGAGTTTTCAAACAATAACGAGTCGTCGCATAATATAACTGAAGGTTTGGTAGGCCATTTCCAACTTTACCATCTGCCAAGTGGTTCATATCTCAATTACCTTGGTCGTGTTAAGAAAGTAGGAAACGCGCTCAAATTGGTTATATAAAAACCTATTGCTGAATCACAGCTTGAGATAGAAGAAGAGCCTTATGAAGGATATAAAGATCACTTCAAGAACTCACTTTACGAAAACGTTAAAAAGGATGACATAGGTAATCCAATATTGTATAGACCTCACGATTATCACGAAATGTCCATGAGTGAAAATATGAGGCTCGTTGAACCAATGGATTTCCAACCACTCCCATCTTCTGATGAAGACATGATGCACATCAACATCAGTAAGTTTGGCACACTTTGGTATTTGTTACAGCAAGACAAAGTAATGTTTTTGTAAACGGTTGGTTATCTGTTGAGGAGGTTTTTTAGTGAATTGACACACTATTTAACTTAAGTTAAATGTCTTATCCGCTATGCTGTCTTGGATGGGATTTTGTCCTCCTTTGAAAAAAAAAACAAAAAAAAAACTGGCAGCTTGACAGGTTTACCGGAGGGTGATGACTTAAGCGAAATTTCGAGTGATTTGAAGCGATTGTGCGACAGATGTGTGGTTTGAGGAGTAGGGGTGGATCAGATGACCCGAAATCCCCCCTTAATCCCCTTAAATCGCACCCCCAACCTCAAATTTTGGAGTCTCCCCCACTTCATTTTTTCACGATGCACTGTATTAGCCAATCAGCATTCGTTATTTGCCATCGGAGACAAAATTATTTCCTAATTTATAAAATCCTTTGCCGGGTGTGTAGATTATAGATTAGCACCAAGATTATATATTCCTATGAGACAACAATATATGATCTAGTGTCCTAACATACTACATGGCGAATTAAGCAACATTGTTGTTATCATTGTCAGCCTTATCTTCAGCTGTGATGATTGTAGTTTCGTCAATACTACCTGCAAATGCTTGGGAAATGGATTGTACACCAATGCGTTTCCACGCTTTGAATAATACCTTGGAATCATTGAACTGCATAGGATTTTGCATTGCATGCTTCTTGAGAGCCATTGCCCTATTCATATCTGCTGTCCTCATGTATACGTCAATGAATGCCTGTGCAATTGGTGCAAACATAATGGCCTTGTCCTTCATTGTTTCAAGTTCCAGTTTCTCATGAGGGTCCAACGCAGCCATACCATATGCAAAATATGCCTTGTGATACTTACCGGGGTTTTCCTTTAATTTCCTTGCGTACGCCTTAATGTCCTTGTAGTCCGTGTTTGAAGCCATCTCCACTGCCTTTGTGATGCCCTTTGAGTCCATGGCATTCATACAAGCTACAGTTGTTGCAATGATAGCAGTACCAGACGGAGCAGATTCAGCACGAATTTTGAAGGCATCAGGAAGTCTCTCACTTTCTAATAGTGCTTGTAATACTCGCCATGTCCGTCCTGGTGATATCCAATGTAGTGCTGTATGGTACAGGTTTTCAGGTTTAAGGAAGTCCTCAATGTTTGGCTCTATGCATGCATTAAAGGTTCTCTCGTACTTGGAAATAAATTGGTCCCTTTCAGTTGTCAAGTAATGGTGGCCCATTGTTCTGAATACGTATTCTAATGCAAATGGTAGTAAAAACGCAACTTTGCGTGCTTCGCCAGCTAGTTCAACAATCCTTGGAAGGTCAGTCTTCATCAACCGAATCGGAGTGTCAAGCCGAGGTAAGATCTGAATTTCCTTTTGATTATCAAACCAGCCAATTTTCACTGACTCTAATCTCAACAAAGCGAACTTAACGGGGTCCTCGCCTTCTGTTGCTCTCTGCTTATTCATGACATAAATCTGTTTACTGGTACTTGCTTGACTAGACGAGTCTACTCCAGTATGTGGGTCTTGCACTCTCTTCACTTGGTTCCAAGATGCAAATTTCTCCAATAGCTGGTCTGCTGGTGTTGATAGAAAGCTTGACCAGAATTGCTTTATTTCTTGACGTTGTTCTTGTTCGTTCAGCTTGCCTTACACGTGCTCTTGCTGACTTGCTTATAACTTGTTGACTGTTGATTGATGAATCGAAACTTCTGCTACCAAGTGTTATAGACTAGGGCCTTGTCTATAGGGAACGTTTATCCAGGTCAGTGAATGATTCAGTGGAAAAGAGGTTACTTTTTATTTTCCCAGTCCAGCCAGCCTTTATATACTGCTGGGCCTAATAAGCTTTGTAGAACCCAGGCTGGGGCCCAGGTTCCTTGACTAACTGCTACCTAGTCGGTAACATCTCAAGATGAATGGCACACCATGTAGTTACAATGCTTTTTTTTGATCGCTGACAAAACATATACTGCTGCACTCAATTTTTTCTCGAAGTCCCTTTATTCTGTGCCTGCTACCCTTCACCTATCTGACTTTCAAAATAAAATGAAAACTGGGGGGGCCAAAGTTAAAGTTGGGGCAGAATAAGGAACTTGTGCTTTATTCCTATCCTAATCACTCTCCTCATGCTTTCTTCGCTTCGCTCGGTTTGTGCTTCGCACATAGGTTGACACTATGCTTATTCCCTGTCTTAATTACTCTACCAATGCTTTCTTCGCTGGGTGGCGAATAATAGCTTATAGTGGAATATTGTTTATTTTTATGATAAAAGCTGATAAATTAGAAGAAAAATAGAGAGTATATTTTTCTTTCGATATTTTATTGTTGCAAGTGACAGTTTCCTTTCATATTGATGCAAGCGAGCCACCATAGAGGCCTCTGAGAAGCCCTCTTTTGGAAGGAAAATAGAAAATGTATCTTCCATTACTACATTGGGGTATGGTATTCTCTGTTCAGAGCGAAATGAGAGCAACTTATAAGTATGAAAAAAAATGAGAAAAATAAAATGTGGTTGAATCGCCATAACAATTATATGAGTAGCTAGCTAAGATGTGACTTAATTAGTAGGATTTTTAGTAGGGCACTGTAGGGTGTTTAGTTGACAAGAAACCCCTTTGAGAAAATAATTCTCTACAAAAAGTCATCAGTTACTATGTAAAGTAAAAATCTAGAAATGTGACTGCTAATTTTGAGCCTACCAATGACTGCACAGCATTTGATTTATATAACAGAATTCTTATCATAGCTCTGTAGTACATCTCATTGGCTAGTAATAGCTCTGAGAATAAAGTTTTCTAAAAAAAAGCCTATATACTATGTGACTGCTATTGCCGTTTTAGTATGTTGCTGCCATATATGATAGATACATGTACTGCAATTTACAGCACTGTAGCTACAATATTGCACCTACTAGAAGTCTTAATCCACCTTAAATAAAGCTACTTTTAGTGATTTTTACACATCCTCTTATGTAGTGTCTAAAATAAGCAATGTGACTGTCTTCAGTAAAAACATATTTAGATGTATATACATCATCTGTATAAGCCTACAAAGTTTTATAGCAATGGCATTAATAATAGATGAGCTATGATCTATAAAAGGAGAGATATTTAAGGATGGATTAACTAAAAAACACCTATATACTCATGTCCAGATTAACTTTCATTCATGTCCACTCAGATTAACATTCATGTCTACTCTGCCTAAAATTAAATCCCTTCTGCCGAAATAAAAGTTCAAACGTCCGCTAGGAGAAGAAAAATCCTGTACTAGTAAAGATATAAAAAAATATATTCCATATACTAGCTTTTATGCATTTTATAAGAAATTTTGGATTACAAATTATGATTCATTAAATAAAAAAGTTAATTATTATCTATTAAATATGTTCTCAAATATGAAAATAAGAATTTTATCAGCATTAATTAAAACCCCTAAAAATTTTAAAAATATTACACTATTATTAGATGGACATGATAGCTCTATTTCTTACGATAAACCAAATATATCAATACAAAAACGGTAGTCATATAAATTAAAAAGTTCTGGTATTAGAACACAAGTTGTTTCAGATATAAATGATATGGTAATATATGTATCTTATAGTGATTTATGTGGAAAAGTTAATGATGGTATGATGTTTCTAAATATGAAATTATATAATAAAATTTTAAAGCAAGATTGTATAGCTATTGATGGAGGTTACACCTTGTTTATAAAACAATTTGAAGATTTATGCAATAATAAAGGATATGATTTAGATGATAATAACTTTTTCTATCCAATTAGAAAAGAAGTAAATAAAAAATTAAATGAACAAGAAATATATTATAATAAAGTCTTTGGAAGTTTTAGAAGTAAAATAGAAAATCAATTTCAAGAATTATTTAATAAGTTTAAAAGATTTAGTAATAATAACTCAACATTAAAGACAGATGATATTAAATATGTAAATTTACAAATCAAAGTAGCATTTTTATTAAAAAATATAGAAAATTTTTCAAATACATTTAATATTATTACACAAGAACATCATAAATTATAGAAAACTGATAACTTTGATTTTCCACAAGAAAATAGATTAATTGATATTCTTTATAATAATGAAATGAAACAGATTAATAAATTTAAAATATTAACAGAAATACAAAATGATTTTTTAAAATTAGATATAAATGAAAATATGATTATTGATGAAAATATAAATTCTACTAATAATAATAATAATGACAATGAAAATGAAAATTATATAACTGAAGAAAGTGATTTAGACTATCCCAAATTAAAAAAGTTACTAAAAAAAGAAGAAAAAGATTATATAAATCAAATTAAAATATAAAAAATTTGAGAAACCTAAATAAAGATGATAATATATATGAAATAGAAAACATAATTGAACATAAAATAGAAAATAATAAATATTCCTTTTTTGTTAAATGGAAAGGTTATGATAATAATGATAATTCTTGGGTTAAAGAAAATGATTTTTATGAAAAACAAATTATTAAAGATTATTTTAAAGAAAAAAATATTATATATCAAATTTAGAGGAATAAACATTAACACGATGTTAATAAATTTTCTTTAAATTTTTTCTTAGCTGACAATTTTTTTTATTCTCGGAGTTTGAAATCGTGCATACTGTTAAATTTTATTTAAAAAAAAAACTGAATTTTTTTAAATATAAAAATAAATACCTCCCATATTATTTGGCATAAAAAATTCAAATGGTTATATTAAATACTGAACTTCTTATTAATAAGAATAGTATGATTTGTTCTATTAAAGATTTAATGGAGCAGGTTATGCATAATTATTTTGAAGATGAAATGTTAATTAAAGATATTGAAAGTAAGAAGATGATTATGAATAAAAAAATTAACGAAGAAATTAATAAAGTTAAAGATAATTATTTTTGGTATGTTAATACAAGCGAAAATGTGTGTACTTACATACATAAAAGAGGTAAGAAAAATGGCCATATGTGTCACAGAGAAATTAATACTAATCTTAATGGAGATAAACCTAAACCTGATTACCTTTGTACTATACATAGTAAACTTCATGTTCCAAAGAAAAAAATAAAAAATCTATAAAAAAAATAGAAAATCCTAATTTACCATGCATAATTGTTAATAATGGTGATTTTATACATAAAACTAATAACAAAAGAATAAAAAAAAGAAAATCTAGAAAAATATATATATGCAACAGTAGAAGTTTTAACCTAGCAAATGTACTTAAAGGATTATTACAATAATGGGAACCGACGTTATCCACTATACATACTCAAATAATATATCTTACATAAAATTTTATTAGGAAGGGTAGAGTATCGAGTTATCTAAGTTATTTATTAACTTTCATATAGTTATTTAACATATTGGTTTCATTAAAATCTTTCATTGATATCCAGCTATTTTGGGATTCATTATAACCTTTCCATTTAATTAGGAATATATAGGAATCATTTTCAAATTTATGATTTATTATAGATTCTATTTTATAAGAAATATTAGAAGTTGAATTATTTCTAATTTTATTTATATCTATTAATGTTCCTTTGCCTTTACCTTTTCTTTTTATTTTTTTCTCATTGAATTTAGGTACATCTTCTTCGCTGGAAACATCTTTATCATTATAATTTTCATCGCTGTATTCATTATCAATAATCATATCAGTATTATCTATACTTAAAATTATTTAAAAACTGTTCCTGTAATTTAACCATTTCATCTAATTTATTTTTTGCCTCAGATGAATTGCTAATAACTATATCTATTAATTTAGCTTCGTGTGGAAATTCAAAATTATCTGATTCCCACAATTTATGATGTGCTTGTGTATTAATATTAAACTTTTCACTAAATATTTTTATATTTTTTAATAAACAAGCAACACGAAATTGAAGATTATAAAACTTTATGTTGTCCATCTTAACAATAGATTTATTATTATTAAATCTATAAAATTTATTACCTATTGCAGCAAATTGGTCTTCTATTTTTGAACGGAAGCTACCAAAAACATCATTATAATGCCTTTCTTCTGCTGTTAAATCTACATTCTTTTCTTTACATATAGGATAAACAAAATTATTTAAAGATAAATCATATCCTTTTTCCGTACCAAGTTCTATAAGCTGATTAACAAATAAAGTATAACCACCATCTGTTGCCAATACATCTTGTTTAGATATTTTTTTATATAATTTCATGTTCAAAAACAAACTTCCGTCAGAACTATCAGAGCAATAATCGCTTTTGGAAGCATATAAAATCATATCGTTTATATCGCTAACAATTTGTGTACGAACTCTATTTTTCTTTAAATTTATATGACCATAATCTTTCATGTTTTATATCAGTATTAACATAGTTAATTCTTAAATCATGACCATCTATTATAAAAGTTATGTGTTTAAAAAGTAGTGGATTATATTTATAAGAAGATAAAATTCTTAA